TTACTCTTCTGTGTCAAGAAATCTGGAAGACAGCTGAGCTCCTGGCCAACCAACTGGAAGAAATCATGTTTCTGCCCATTTCAAAGAATAATAATTTCACAGAATATGGAAATAACTGAAAATATTACACCCCGGTAAAAATTTGCAGAGGATAATTCAAAACATACTGCAGCAGAACATCAACAGGGACCTGCTGGAAATTCAGGCCAGGTTCAGAAGAAGACATGGATTGAGGGTTGTCAGATGAATATGGTTAAAGCAGAGGGAGTAGCAGAAAGATGTTAATCTGTGTTTTATTGACTCAGTTAATCATAGCAAAAGATAGATATTCTATCTGTTAAAGATCTTTTTTTCAAATGAGAGAATATTTACAGATTCCAGGGATTAGGGCATGGTTCCTTTTTTTGGGATGGCATTTTTGCAGCCTACCACAGACCACCATGCAAGTCTGACCCTGAGGGGTAGGGAGGGCACTCTCTGCCCGCATCCCAAGCATACTGGCTGGGGTTACAGAGTTGAGCTGGCCACTGAAGCTGTCCCTCGTCTCCCAGAACTGGTCTGCCTTAGCGTCCCAGCCACACTGAGGGTTAATGCGCAGAAAAGTGCCACGCAAAAGAGAGAATGGATTTCAGAGCAGCCACATTCCCATCAAATGGCAGTCTACACAGGGTGTTCTCGTGGCCTCTGAAGGAAAGACTCAACAGACCCAGGAGAGGAGGCGTAGGGTGGCCCTGGCCTCAGGCCCTTAGGATGAGGAGAGGTGCCCAGACTTTCACTGTGTAAGTCTGGTTTGCTTGCTCGGCCTCTGTCTGGGTTGCTGGGCATGTAGTGACCCTGGGTGAGTGGTATAACATAGACGTCTCAGTGTGGCGTCCCCCAGAGTCCTGGTGACCTGCTTCTGGAAAGCCAAGCAGTGGAGATGCTGCAGTGCACGTTTTTGTTCTGAAGCATGCCATGAGCCTGCATCAAGTCAGCAGCAGCTAATTCTTCATGCCTTGGGTGGTCAGTTAGAAGGACTAGCAGGGCCTTTGCCACAGAGCTTAAGGACTGTTGTTAGATTTTTCATATCAATTGCATATTTCTTGATATTGTAACCAGGAATATTTGAGGCAGGTGGATTTGGCCAGTGAGCCTGTGCTCAGAGCAGGGGTGGCCTGGCCTCAGAGCCTCAGAAGCTGGGTCTGCAACCAGTTATTTCCAGACTACTAAGTGGCTTCTGACCTTTGGTCCTGGGCCGCTTCTGTGTGGGTCACAGTTGACTTGCTCCTTACCTGCCTCCTCACCCAATGGACTGCACACTGCATGTCCCTCATGTGGGGCCTAGAGCGGACATTTCAACCTCCTTGACCTGACTTTAACCTGGTCCTCAGTCACTTGGAATTTTTTTCTCTCCTGTGTTTTCTTCACTCACTTCACTTAGGAGCATTGATTCTGGAGTCAGATAATTTCAGTTCTGATTCTGCCACTGAGTATGTGTTTTTGGGGAAATCATGTAACTTCTCTGTGTCTCAGAGTTTTGTTGTTGTTAGGTGCCACAAACTCGTTTGACTCATAGCAGCCCTGTGAACAACAGATCTGAAGCTTGTCCTATCCTGTGCCATTGCAGCAATCACTGTACCAGTCTATCTGGTTGAGGGCCATTGTTTCTTTCACTGACCTTCCCAGTGCTACCTTATCTCCTAGGATTGTTGAGAGGATTTGGTCAGTTAATATATAAAGCCTTTAGCCAGTGTTGGGGCATCATGCAAGTGCTTGCTAAGGGAGTGTTCCCAGTGCACACCTTTGCATGCACTAGTTCCCCTGCATCCTATTGCCATCTAGGCTGGTGCTTCTTTCTCTGGGAAACCCTCCTTTACCTCTCAGTCTTTCCTTCCTCTGACTTGGTTGTCTTACAGAGATTGTCACCTCAAAAGATGATGACTCCCTTGTCTACTGGAGAAGTCCTGAAAGTGGCCCCATAGCTAATGCACATTTCTGTTCTTCACTGCTCTTTGGACAGGAGGAGGGCTCCTGTAGGGGTTCAGTGTGTGTTGTTAGAAGTCAAATGAATTTCCTTTTTTTGAGGTGAAAATATACATAGGGTATACCAGTCTGGCAATTTCTGTGTGTATAATTCAGTTGCTTTGGTTACATTCCTAAAGTTGTACATCTATTCTCACTACCCTTTTCTGAATTAATTTCTTTATCATTAACTTAAACTCTTAAGGGAGCTCTAGTGGCCTATTGGCAAGAAGTTGCCCCGCAATCCGGAAGGTTTGTGTTCAAATTCACCAGATTCTTGGCTGGAAAGGAGAAAAAAAAACCCAAATAACAACCCATAAACTCTGTGTCCCCCTCCCACAGCAAAATCAGAATGATTGAGAGTTGAGCAGTGTGTTGGCTGGTGCCAAGTGGCTGCCTGAAAGTGGGAGAAGGCACTGCGCACCATGGTTTTTTGGGGGGAGGGCACTAGATGGGGAGCTCTGCTCTCCCATTTTCCTCTAGCAGACCCTACCCTGACCCAAACCTTTCTTTCCAGACTCTTCTGTAGCTAGTGCTTCCCAACAGTCTCTTCTGCTGCTTCATTCTGAAGAAGATACTCTTCACTCCTTAAAAACCAACCTCCCTGCTTCACCTGATTCAAAGGTAAATCCCCCTTCCTGTGACTCCCTATCAAAAATGCAGTTTCTCTGCTCTCTGATACCTCTTTAAAGGGTGGGAATGGGCAGGGATGTGTAAAGTTTATCCAGACTTCTAAGATTGAGAATACAGCATTCAGAAAACTGAGGACGGCAGATGGTGTGCTATATTCAGATTTTCAATACGTCTTTTTAGTGTTTGTGTTTAAAAGAAGCTAATAATTGACATTGACTCCTTCTCCTACCCCCCCCCCAAAAAAAAACACCCCAAACCATATCGATAATCATTTGCTTACATGGCATAGTGCATTATTTTTTTGAAAGTTCAAATCCACTAGATGCTTCCTGGAGAAAGATGGCCAGTTTCCGCCCACTAATGCTTACAGCCTCAGAAACCAGACAGAGTCCCCATGGGTCAGAGGGGATTCAGCAGAGTGGGTGTGGCTTTTTGTCTCTGTCCTCTCCATTTTCTCAGCTTAGTGTAGGTTGGTATCATTCTGATTTTTTTTTTTAAAGACTTGAATCCAGGGCCACATGCTGCCTTCCATGGATCCTAGCACTTTTGTCTTCATAGGCTGCTTCCTCCATTCAAAAATGTAAAATTATCTTTAATGGCTGCGTTGGGCAACACATAAATATGTGCAGATGACTTCAGCTCTCTTAGCTCATTGGCCTCAAAGTAGCCTTTGGGTTACTGGCATAACTTCCTATAGAAAACACCACCAGAGTGCCAAGTGCCACCCTCGCAGGTCACCTCAGGAAGGGGTTGGGGCAGGATGTAGGACAATGTGTGTTCATTCAGTCAGTCATGATTACCCAGTGAGAACTCAACCATGACTGTGCAATGGTAGAGAAAAGCCCTGAAAACAGAAGAGAGGGGATGTCCAGGACTAGTGAGAACGTCCACGTGTGGGAGGACTGGAGCATGGCCCCAAGGACACCAGAGGCCCCTACCTCAGCATCTTCTAATGCATCTCTTAGTTTGTATCCTTTCAGGCTATGATAAATGGGTAACTTTTTGTGTGATATTCATTTCTGTTAATTCTCTGATCTGTTCTGGATGATTATTAAACCCACATGGAGAAGTGAACTAACAGGGACTTTGGCTTTTGGATGGACAGAGTCCTTCTGCCTTGTGTCTCTGACTTAACTTGAGGTGCCTAATTCAGGAAACAGCTACTCAGGCAATTGAAGAACAAAATGCTTCTGGTTTGTGTGCTTTGCTATAGGTCAGAAGGGAATCAACAGAGTGGGTGTGGCTTTTTGTTTCTTTCCCCTTAGTTTTCTCTGCTTGGTGTAGGTTAATGTCATTTTGACTTTGAATGACCTGAGTCCAGGGCCACATCCTGCCTTTTGTCTGGAGGCCGAGCTGTGAAAGTACTGAGTGGCTGGAGAGGAGGATAATGGAGATAGGGGAAGGCCAAGCCTGAGGCCATTTCCAGTTGGAAATTGGATTAATGCTACTCCTCACACAGTGTGCAATAAAGGTGGGATCTGCCTACCTTGCCCTTTGCTTCGTGAGGTTAATACAGTAAGTTTAAACTATTAAATTTATGCATACAAAGCCATTTCTAAAGAGAACAGAGCACTCAGCTCTGCCACTGGCCAGATGTTTGACTTGCCTCAATCTCTTAACATCCTTGGTACTTGCCTCTGTAAACAGAGGGCTAAAAGGGATGGAAAGAGCATCCACTGGGTTGTAAACATGGGCTCAGGGTAGTTATGTTGTAGTTAATTTTCAGAATGATCCTCTTAAGATGCTATTATTATCCTTTTATTTGCTGATAAGATTGTTGAAATTCTCAGAGGTTAATTAAATTATTTGCCATGGGTCACAGAGCAAGGTAGAGGTAGGATTTGAACTCATATCTACTCATGTTCTTTTTAGCACTCCTTATTTGATACTATTATATAATATGTTCATAAATCAAAAAATTATCACCAAGAAAATGGAAATCATCCACCTGCTTTGCTCAGCCCCTATGAAGAACCACCTACTTACATGAGTATAACTGCATGCCCATACTTGTGTTGCTGATTTAATTTAAAATTTTTTTCTGCAACCTGTATTGTTGTTGTTGTGTGCCATAGAATTGGAACCAGCCCATAGCTGACCCTCCAGTGGATTTTCAGATACACTAAATCCCATTTTCCTCCTACAGAGCCAATGGTAGATTTAAACTGCATGCCTTTGGGTTGGCCGTGCAACTCCTTACCCCTGAGGCCACCAGAGCTCTTTGTACATACCTGCACACATATTTAATCGGAACTAGAAGGATAATTCCCTTTCTACTTTGACACAGTGCCCTTGTGGAATCATTTGTGGACTAAGTGCATTGTCAAGCCCTATCCTAGCTCTGAGGTTCTAGGTCGCTTGTGATCATGGAGAAAACAAGCTTCTGTAGTAATGCTGCCTCTTCTCTGAATTACAAGGTTTTCAGCACCTCTGTTCCTAAACAAGGAAACCTTTTGAACGTGGCTGGAGATGGCCTTTTCTGGAATGAGGCAGATGTGGTCCAGGCAACCAACAACTTCAGCCATGACAGTAAAATCAGTGAGGGCACCTTTGCAGTCACCTACCGAGGGCAAAGGCATGGCACACTGTTGGTCTTCAAGAAGCTCAGTGAGGCAAGTGTTCCTTGATTCTAACAAGGGCTGGAGTCATCTCGGTGTGGCTGGTGTTTTATTCTTCAATGTCTTTTCCATAGGCAGCCTGCTCAAGCCCAGGAGCAACTGAAAGATTCTTCCAGAAGGAACTGCAGGTTTGTCTGAGGTAAGTCTCACTTGTAAGACACTGTGTTTAATAATAAAGTACTACTCAGAGTGACCCTCCCTCGGTTTCCTAAGGCTGGAAACTAGTCCTTTTTCAGCTGCAGAGCAGTTGGTGGATTTGAACCAGCAACTTCTCAGTTTTCAGCCCAAAAGTTATGTACTCTGCCATCAGGACTCCTTAATAATAATGAAAACTAATCATATAGAGAGAGCTCTGGTAACCTAGTGGTAAAGAGTTGAGCTGCCAACTCAAAGACAGATGGTTCTAATCTCCCAGCTGCCCTGTAGGAAAAAGATGGGCATTCTACTCCTGTGTGATTCATAGCCTCTGAAAACTCACTGGAAGGTCAACTCTGAGTCACTTTCGACTTGACAGCACATAACAACAATCCTCACATAATGCTACTTATGCATCAGGCATATTGTAAGGGCTTTATATGTATAAACTCATTTAATTCTCACACTAACCCCACTGTGAGTGAGCTCTGGTGGCATGGTGGCAAGAAGCGGCACTGCAATCCCGAAGTTACATGGTTTGAGGGCACCAGTTGCTCCATGGGAGGATGGGTAATCTCCTCCTTTGCAATTAACTGCCTCTGAAAACCCACTGGAGGGTCACCTATGGGACAGTTCCGACTTTCTGGTACCCAGAAGCAACAACAACACCACATCCCTATAGTGTAGTTACTATTATTACTTTCAAAACAAGTAAAACAAGGCACAGAGAGGTTCACTGTCTTGTCTGAGGTCATACAGTGACTAACTGGTGGGGTTTGGGTGGTCAAGAGGAGCTCTGGGGGCCCAGTGGGCTGCTGACTGAAAGGCTGGGAGTGTGAATCCCACTCTGTAATTGTTGTTGTTGTTATCTGCCTTAGAGTTGCTTGCGACTCATAGCAACCCTATGCACAACAGCCCTAAACCCTGCTCTATCCTCTGCCAGTCGCACTGCCTCTGACACACCCATCCCGATTACCTCAGTCACTGAATCAATCCACCTCATAGAGGGTCTTCCCCTTTTGCGCCATCCCTCCACCCTACCAAGCATGATATGTCCCTCTCCAAGGACCTCTCCCTCCTTACAACATGTCCAAAGTGTCAGACGTCTCAGAATCCTTGCCTCCAAGGAGCAGCCTGGTTTAACCTTCTCCAGGATGAATCTGTTTGTTTTCTTGGCAGTCCATGGTACCCTCAGTACTCTTCTCCCAGCACCACAGCTCAAAGGCATCAATTATCCTTCTATCCTCCTTAGTCATTGTCCAACTCTCTGATGCATAACAAGTGATTGCAAAGACCATAGTCTGTATCAGACGCACCTTAGTCTCCAGAGTGCAGGCTTGAAGAGGACCGAGCCCCTTTCTGGAGAAGTTTCTAGTCCAGTGGAAACAAAATAAAAAACCTTTAATTGCTTGCTGTAGAGTCAGACACTCTAGTGGGTTTTCAGAGGCTGTAAATCTCATAGGAGAGGATTGCCCATCTTTCTCCCATGGAGCTGCTGGTGGGTTTGCTGACTTTAGGGTGACAGATTTCTACAAATTTGGCCATGAGAGCCAGTGGGGATTCTGACATGTTCATAGCTCACTGTCCTAAGCCTGGGCATCATGAAGTAGGATGTACCAGGGCAAGGTGGTGCAGTGCCGAGACAGCAGGCAAGGCTGTTTGTAGTAGTTCTAGGATAGTTTCGTTAGGGTCTGATCCACAATGGAATGAGGGTGTAATTGGGAGAGCTCTTTATGATAGTGACAGCAAGCAGTGACTGATGACATGGGGAAGGGAAGCAGGTTTTTAGGAAACCAGGTGGCATGTGGTGACCTTGGTGGACAAGTTGGTATGGGCTATGAAGTGGGTTTGGCACTTGGCTGCATCTAAGATATTCACCTGGAGCATCAGATACAGTTAGATGCTCAAGTTAGAACTTGAAGATGTGAGATTTGGGAGTATGCTTTATAAAGACAAGGAGCCTTGATAAGCAGTGGAGATTTGAACAGTGAGCCACTCTGTGAAGCTTTACACCATTAGAAACCCTGAGGGGCGGTTCTACTCTGTCTTGTAGGGACACTGTCCGTCAGAATCAACTGACCTGTGACAGGTTTATTTTTTCCTTTTTTGTTTTCTCACCAAAGCAAAGAAAAAGAAAGAAATTAGACATTAAACAAAAGGCTAGGCCTTCTGACCAGAATCTCATCTTAGAGTGTCCCTGCAAAGTGGTGAGCACAAGGGGAAAGAGAAGAGGCACTGCTATGTGTAGTCTGGGCCTTTAACAAGCCGTGGAATTGTTCCTATGAGCACTTGTGTGCATGAAGCGAGTGGGCACTGTTCCAAATGACTGCCCTACAAACGTTACTGCAGCAAGCCAGTGGCTCACAGCATCACCCAGCATGCTGCTGGCATAACTGTAAACAGACAGGTTTGGAATGAGATTTTTGCCAAGAGAATTAACGTGCCCTTTAGGCACATTAAAAACACTCTTAAGAGCTGAGAGAGCTTCCTTAAGTACATGAAGGAAAACAATCAGACGGAAAAGGAAGTCAAGGAGAAAAGTACTGGGGCTCAGCTAAAGAGGCCCCCAGAGACCCAGGCAGCTGGAGAGGGGTGCTGGGACCCATTCCCCACAGATTCATAGAGGATGGGGCTCGGGGGTGGGGAAGAAATATGTCTGGCTGTAAAAATTAGGACATCAGTTTTCACAGTGGAAATATAAGGTTTCCCCTTGGAGGTGGAATATTTAAAGCATACTTTGCTTCTTGTTTTGCTATGTAAGTGTCTACTATTAAATGGGGGCTCTGATGGTAAGGGACTGCACTGTAGTCTAAAACGGATGCGGGTCAGATCCGCCAGCTGCTTCACAGGAGAGAGATGCGTGATCTCCTCCTGTGCAGAAAGCCTCTGAAAACTCTCTGGAGGGTCAGGTATGGATCAGTTCCAACTCAGCAGTACACAAGAACATATTTAAAAATGGAAAAAACTAAAATGCTAGGCCCAGCTGGAATAGGAACCCTCATATCTCAGAGGAAGGCAAAGGAGAATAGGCCTTAGTGAAACAGACTGAGAGTATAGTCAGAGAAGTAAGAGGGTCAGGAGGAAGTGGTGACTAGGAAAATTTCAGTGAAAAGCCCTGTCCAGGAACCAGCAGTCAGCAGATGTGGAATCAGGCCCTGGCCATTCTGCTTGCTGGTTGACCTCTGAGGTCTTTCTGGAAGACGGTGAAGTTGTCACACACTGCAGAGCAATAAGATGGATTGAAGAGTGCTGATGGTCTAGTGGTAAGGAGTGTCACTGCCAACCCAAAGGCGTACAATTCAAATCCACCAGCTGCTCCACAGGGGAAAAAATGGGCATTCTTCACCCATGTGATTTTAGCCTCTGAAAATCCACCAGACTGTCAGCTATGAGTCAGTTTCCACTGATGGCACACAACAGCAAACATAGAGCTACAAGAGGACAGGCAGTGTTCATGTCCTGTCCTCTGCTGGGCCCTCAGAGGTGTCCGGAAGGGGACTGGTGACTCCAGGGCAATGAGAAGATGAAGGGTATGGGTATGAGGGCAGGTGGCAAGTGGCCTGTGATGATGTTCTCTCTGGTCCCTCACCCCTCTGTGCTGACACTTGCTTTCAGATGCTGCCACCCCAATGTCTTACCTCTGTTTGGTTTCTGCACTGGAAGAGGGTTTCACAGCTTGATCCACCCCTACATGGCAAATGGTTCCTTACAGGACAGACTCCAGGATCAGGTAAAAGAAGTAGACCCGAATAAATAAGATCTGTTAAACATCCTTGCTAAAAACCCACGATGTTATCTCCCAAGAGAGGTCTCATTCAATTAAAGAACACTGATTGCACTGTTATTCGGTATTGTTCTGGGAGTCTCAGTGCAACAGGACAAGAAAATAAACACTAAAAACAATTAATCTGTAAACTGGAAGCAAAGAGACGGTGTTCACCAAGTCTCCCTACCGGGAATTCATGGACCATCTTGTAATGACTCACACCAGAGTCTCTATGCAGAGGCTCCAGCTGTGGCCACTACATAGTGGATTTTCTGTAACAAATAAAGTTAATTAAGTTAAGGAAAAAAGTTATTCTAGTCTGTCAGTAAGTGAATTGATAAAATGTGATGCATGCATACAATGAAATGTTACTCAGCCTTAAAGAACACTGATGTTTGGAGTGATGAAGGTGGCCTAATGGCAGTAACTGTGCTGCAATCCTGAAGGCCACCAGCTGCCCCACGGTAAAAGGATGGGCACTCTCCTGTGCGATTACTGACTTTGAAAATCTGCCAGAGGTTCAGCTATGGTTCATTTCCGACTTGACAGTATTCAACAACAAAACATCCTCAAAAACGTACAAAATAATAATTTTTTTTTTAAAAAAAAGGAGCTCTGGAGACATGTTCTATAGCACAAGGGTGAGCTCCTTTGGTGGTTTGAATTTACCAGCAACTACATGGGTGAGAGATGGGAAGTTTCCTTCTATGGTATTTACAGCTCAGTCTATGAGTCAGAATTGACTCTACTGCCATCAGTTTTTGAGTAACATATTTTAAAACATGAATGAACCTTGAACACATGCTGAATGAGATAAGCAGATGTGTTGTTGTTATGTGATGTCGAGTCACGTGCGACTCATAATGACCACATGTACGACAGCTTTGAACCCTGCCCTGTCCTGAGCCAGTCTCACTGATTCCACCTCATAAAATCCTCAAACACCAAAACAACTATGAGTATATTCACACAATGGAATCCTACGCTGCATTGAAAAACAAGGAACTCATGCAATATTATTGAAAATGGTTGACTCTGGAGAACATTATGCTGAGTGAAATATCCCAGTCACAAAAGGACAAATATTACATGATGCCACTGTTGTAGAATGGGAC